ACTTACACAAAACATGTCTATTTAAAATTAGTACACAACTCGTACGGTGCACTTAGCCGAAAATAAATTAGATTATATTCATTTCAAAATAAGTGTCATTTTAAGTTTTTTTATTCAGAAATTCAATTTGACTACAATGTGATTCCATAAAATAATTATATTGGTAACTTTTTATCAAATATTTAGATTCTAGGTGAATAATAAGTACAATTTTAAAATGTATATTGTTTCATTAATTAAAATGAATTTGTTTTTTTTTTTTTTTTTNTTTTTTTTTTGTATAAACTATCCCCATCAAAAAATAATTAAGTAGTTGAGTAATTTATTAAATTATAAGTAATTGGTTATTGCATTGACATCGTAGTTAATATTGACCTATAAATTATGAATAATTATTTATCTGCTTTTAGATTTTCAGCTGTTTGTAGTATTTTTTGGGCATGTGGTAACTGAGCTACCCGACTCCGGTCGTTCTCAAAGGAAAGTTGTTTGGAGTTTCGTTCACTATCTAGTCGTCAAAATCATACAACCGAAAAGGTCCTAAATATGCTAATCGCAATTTGGGGATTTGAATTTAAGCTAAACTATCTACGAAATGAGGGAAATTGAAAGCAATTAACAAAGCAAGAGAAAGCACGCAAGAAGATGAGAGAAATCAAGGGAGAAAGAGAGATTTTGGTTCGTCGAAGTCTCTATGATCAATCACACACAAATAACCGAACATTGTCATGCTAGCTAAAACCCTAGGTAGCTAAACCAAACTCTAGCACAAGACGAGCAAGCATTTAACTCCTAATCACACTTAGTCAAGCATTCACGATCCAAAGATTCAATCTTTTCCTCCAAGCAACACAAGCACAATATTAATTTTCACAAAAGCAAACAATGATATACGAAGTAATGAGGCTTAAGACTAAGTACCCACTCTTACACACACTTGGAAGGATAAACTGAGTCAAAAGCTCGAAACTTTACTCGAAACAATGTCACCAGAAATTCTCCGGAAAACTTGATTCATAAGCTCCAAACCAAAACATAAAAAAGATAAAAAGGAAATAGAGAAGATTTTCCCAACTTAAAAGTTGGGAAATGAGGGTTGTCTTAAAAAATACAAAGTAAAATGTCTTTAAATAGCTACACCACAAACACACACTAAAAACACGCACATTTAATAAAGCACTCTCGATCTCTCCACCATTTTCGCGAGCACGCGGGCAAGGGCTCACACGGGCGCGGCACTCTCGGCATCGAGGAAAGATTCACGAGCATGCGGGCGCGGGCAGGCGTTGGCAGCACTCTCGACCTCGCCGTAGGATCCACGAGCACGCGAGTGGGGCGGTCGTTGGCAGCACTCTCGATCTTGTCGTAGGTTCCGCGAGCACGCGAGCGTCTTGGACAATGGGACCTCCGCACTCTCGAGCTTGCAATGATTCCGCGAGCACGCGACTGGCAGACGACGTGCGTAGGCGTGCGCGAGCGTGCGGCAGTGCGGCGCGGGCGCGCGCGAGCGAGCGTGGGCTCGGTCATGTTCCGTTAATGCTCGATTCGCCCTAACTTCTCGCACACATATCCGATTGACTTGAAACTTTGACCCACGCTTCTCAAATCTCGTTCTCCTCGTCTTGGAATGCTCAAATTGATACTGCAGTGCAATTAATATATGTGCTCGGAAACGGTTCAGAAATGACCCGTGTGGCTCGAACATGGTTCGGACGACTCGAAAATGTCTCGGAAATGGCTCGTCTTCCCAACATCGAATAATGTTGACCTAAACAACACAAAAAAGACAAGAAAAATGCGCCGAACCACAAAAACACAATACGAGAATAGAAATGCACGAAACACGATAAAATAGACCGGTCGACACTAAAACGAACCTAAAAACACTAAACTCTAGAACATAAAACACACGAAAATAAGCACAAAAACACAATAAACATCAACCCAAATTTAAACTACACAGTAATTTCCTTTATATATTCACACACACACACACACATATCGCAATTTTCTAGATTTGTCGTCAGTTACCTTATTGTTTAAATTTATCAACAAATTCTCTATAATTAAATTAAATTTTATTAACCATGTTGATGGACAGATCCGATCAACGGTTAAAATAAAGATTAATAAAGGTCGAAAAGAGAAAATGAAAAAGATATACGGAATAATTAGATTTTATTATATAATCACTAGGTCGGCCTTTGATGGTGAGGTCGTCACTTTGCTTACAGTTTGAATGTTTGTGGGAATTAATTACAGAATTCTAGAGATATAAATTAGTAGTTGGGGAAATTAACAACCCTAATAAATGAGTTGGGTCTTTTATTTATAGTATTTCCAGGCATAGCACTGTTC